GTCCCCGTCACGTTGTGAGCGTCCTATATATATACCAGACAAACATATAACTAGTAAATGCTAGGGCATTCACGAAGGTTCGAGAGAAGTGGCATGACACTAGTCACGTGACCTCGCTGACGCAATAGCCACATATTTTGTTTTACTCACCATCATGCCCCATGTGCTACACATTTTTTTTTCTACACCTAAGGTGTTTTTGATTATTGAGATACCACTATTAAGACAAATGGAATTTCTGGTAAAGAAAATGTTAATACTTAATTACTTATACAAGAAGATATGTCATTATGATCCAATTTACTCAGACTATAAAAAAAAATACTGAAAATATTTATGTCTACTCTATTAACATAATATGTTTTTGTTGCTTTTTTTTATCTTTTAAGTCCTGCATTTAAACATATCTCATAAAAAAAAATCTCTCTTATGGTGCACATGTTCTTTATATAGCTCAGTAGTTTACCTCAGCATTTCCAAAAGTGTGTGGTACCCACACAGAAGGCATAAATGTTCTCTTGTGTGTGGTGGGGGGGGGGGGGAATTAGGGTAGAGTCAATAGTACAATAATGCAAATTTAAGCATTTTAATATATTTTTTTTATTAATGAAAATAATAAGTAACTAATACACCACATAGCATTTAATGTGTATCTGATGACAGGAAAGGCTAGTTTACCTCAACAATTAATGTATAAAATATGATCAGACATAAGATATGTTAGGTAACAAAACATTGTGTGTATAAATTATGATCAGACATATGTTAGGTAACAAAAACATTGTGTGTATAAAATATGATCAGACATAAGATATGTTAGGTAACAAAAATATTGTGTATAAAATATGATCAGACATAAGATATCTTAAATAAAAACACTGTGTATAAAATATGATCAGACATAAGATATCTTAAATAAAAACATTGTGTGTATAAAATATGATCAGTGTATCTGATTGAGATATTTAGACAGTTTGTATAAGATATAAGTTAAGTTTTCTGTATCTGATTGAGATATTTGGACAGTTCGTAAGCTGAGTGCTAGTAACCTTTTAGCTTTGTCTCTCTTTAAAAAACAAATTTGACATATTTTGTTTCAAAATTCAAAACAAACAGTCACAAACAGCCTAGTTCACAAGCATTGTTCTTTCTCTCTGTTTGATGTAAAAAGATTTCAGACACATAAATGTTCTGTATAGAGCCTGGTTATGTTCACTGGTTTAAAATACTGAAAAATGTTTTTACATCATTTTTTCTATACTATATTTGAAATATTTTATTATACTCTTGTTGATTTATTTATAGTTTGGAATAAAGACAACTTAAGTAGTACTGTGTTTATATTCCCTCTCAGTGCATTACGACCATTTTATCTATACAAATATTCGTGCATAAAACATGTAGATTTTAGGTGTTGTCAAAACATGTAGTTTATTAAATTGTAACCGATATTTTTCTCCTGATTTTTTATAAACTAGAATGCAGCATGTCATCAACACCTTGGGCAGGTACCTGAAGCCTGGTGGACAGATTTTGTTCCGTGATTATGGTAGATACGATATGGCAGAGTTACGATTCAAGAGCGGCTGTTGTCTTCAGGACCACTTCTACGTTCGTGGTGATGGAACAAGAGTGTATTTTTTTACTGAAGGTAAAGAGTTGAATAAAACGCTTCAGTGATCTGCGTTCATTAGATGTTTTCATTACTTAATTATTGATATTCATATTTCAGTTGAAATATGGCATGCATAATAATTCTGGCAATGTTTTAGTTTGCATGGTATTACTCAGTACACTTTTGCCAATAAAGACTCCAGTAAGAGGGCCAAAAACACCCAATTAAAAGAAAGGTACTTAACATATAGTGTAGTTTGGAAGTAAACTTTCATTGTGTTTTCATAGAACAAAAAGTTTGGAAGCTCTGGTATTTATGTTATTTTGATCACGATTCTAAGAATGTAACACAATGTTTTTGTTACCTAACATATCTTATGTGGAAAACTTAACTTATATCTTGATACGAACTGTCTAAATATCTCAATCAGATACAGAAAACTTAACTTATATCTTATACGAACTGTCTAAATATCTCAATCAGATACAGAAAACTTAACTTACATCTGATACAAACTGTCTAAATATCTCAATCAGATACAGAAAACTTAACTTACATCT